CGATGGTACAGTCCAGTTGTGGTATGATGTGGTAATAACGATGGTACAGTCCAGCTGTGGTATGATGTGGTAATAACGCTGGTACAGTCCAGCTGTGGTGTGATGTAGTAATAACGCTAGTACAGTCCAGTTGTGGTGTGATATGTTTCTGTTTTATCTTTGATACTTGAAAGTTAACACCTGAATACAACCGTTGGATACAATTGAAACTATTAGACAATGAAATCCTGACCTGTCGTAGGTTTAGATCAGTAATACAAATACAATGTGCAGAGTGTAAAGAGAAGTGTTTAGGAAGAAAAATGAATTATCTTATTAATAAGTTGATGACTAAAGGTATTTTTTGTTTATATTTCTGTTTCTTTAGGTGCACGGTTCCTCACATTAGACACCTTAGAAACGCAGTGGTAGTGTGAGAAAAATGTTTGATCTCTTCTGTACCAGAAAAAAAAAAAAGAGGCATATAATAGAAATAGCGTACTTTTTAATATTCCTTATCGCCTGTTTTCTTTTATGATAAGCACAGAGCTACACTATACAATGGGCTATCTGTGCTTTTGCCCACAACGGCTATCGAAACCCGATTTTTTGCGTTATAAGCCCTCACACTTACCGAGGGTTTATCATCTTTCATCTTAAAACGAGTTAACATTCACAGTAATGTTTACTTCACCCCAAAAATTTTGTTATGCTTTTTTTGATAATTTCAAAACAGGAAAAATTTGATTTAATGTATGCAATCGTGGTTTCAAAACAAAAGATTTAAACAGTTATTATTTAAAATAATAAAATCCATCCAAGTGAAGGAAACACATCTGCAACTTTTCACAAACTAAAGAACTTTTAAGTTCGCAAGAAATATCATTCGCTTGTTTAAACCTCTACTCTTGACCTTGTAGCCTAACGTATCCTATAATCTTAATTATTAACCTTAATACCAGGTATGACGTTAATCAAAGTTATCTTCAAAGGTATCGTAGAAAGTATAACTAACATTAATGACATACAAACATAGGGATTTCGAATACATTTTTACGTTAATAAGGTTCTAAGCAAAATAAGGAGAGTAATAACAAAAAAAAATAGTATATTGTATTATAAAACGTCAGATGGAGCTTTCTTTCATCCATGTTGTCTTTAATTTAATTCACAAGTTTTCGATTGCAATTACGTCGTTCAAGCGTGACCAGTACTTAGCGTGTTGAGTTACGGAATGAAAGGCCCAAGGTTCAAACTGCGATGCTGTGGGGGAATTATAAAAGTGACAGTCAGTTCAACAATTCGATGCAAAACAGCTGAGTAACGCGGCGGGTGGTTTTGGCTGGTTGCCCTCCATATGATCAGTAACTTGAAATTGGGAACGGTTATGCCCGAGCCTTGTGGTGGCTGTTTAGCCCGCGTATTTTATAAGGTGCTGTTCAAGTTGACAGTTTCACGATTTTAGACCGTCAACGTGTACTTTAGATCCTCAGTGGCACAGCGATATGTCTGCGGACTTATACCGATAGAAACAGGGTTTCAATACCCGTGGTGGGCAAAGCACAGATAGTCCATTGTGTAGCTTTGTGATTACTGACAAATATCAACGTTTACGTTACCTTTAAAGTAACCTTGTGACCGAAAGCTTGTGAAATAAATACAAAATAAAATATATATATATAGAGCCTCTCTTTATTGCAACCTTACCAACTTACGAGAATACCTGAATACATAGTTTAACTGTATCTAATGGAAGTTCATATAAGTGAACATTATTTCAGAGTGCCACCTTGGGGCCAGAGGGGCCAAATGGATGTGGACCTTTTCATGTTTGTTGCACCTTGCCAGAAACAACCCCCGAAACGCCTTTCGAGCCACACTGTGGTTTCAGAAACATCAATGGCCTCAATAAGCGTATATTGAACACTGAAAAAGATGGACTGTCTCAGTTTGGAGAATGGCCTTGGCAGGTAAGAGAAAGAAAATTACCTGTTTCAGTTTGGAGTATGGCCTTGGCAGGTAAGAGGAAGAAAACGACCTGTTTCAGTTCGGAGTATGGCCTTGGCAGGTAAGAGGAAGAAAACGACCCGTTTCAGTTCCGAGTATGGCCTTGGCAGGTAAGAGGAAGAAAACGACCTGTTTCAGTTCGGAGTATGGCCTTGGCAGGTAAGAGGAAGAAAACGACCTGTTTCAGTTTGGAGTATGGCCTTGGCAGGTAAGAGGAAGAAAACGACCTGTTTCAGTTCGGAGAATGGCCTTTGCAGGTAAGAGGAAGAAAACGACCTGTTTCAGTTCGGAGTATGGCCTTGGCA